TCTACTGGGTGGTTGCCCTGCACGCTTAATAAACAAACTACAGCTAGTTCAAAACACAGCAGCTCGAGTTCTTACCAGAACCAGGAAGTATGACCATATTAGCCCGGTTCTGTCAACACTGCATTGGCTGCCTATTAAACATCGTAAACATTTTAAAATATTGGTGATTACTTACAAAGCACTAAATGGTTTAGCTCCCCAGTACTTGAGCGAGCTCTTAAAGGTGAACTAAGTAACTTTTTTACCTTAAAGGTATTGTAGGTAGGATAAAAAAAAAAACTTTTTGCCAAATTTTTTTAAACTTTCTATATATATCAATGCATAATTAAAATGTAAGTACTCTGGAAAAGAGAGTATAAAAATCGAGTGTCTGTAGTCCTCTCAGGGCTGTAATAAACACAGCTACTTATCTCCATTCACTTCCACCCCCTCCATTCTGGGCTCCTTCCAAAACCACGCCCCCAAAACACATGAACGCGCGATGCCGACAGCTCACAGCTGGAGGACGCGCTTACCAGCGCCGAGCGGAGAGGAGCAGTGCATGTAGTGACATCATGTCAGACTCACATGTAATAAAATACCTAACTTTATCATTATGAATATAAACAACTAACATGGCTGTTAGTACTCACTATCAAGCTAGCATATCGATACTGGTAAAGTTTAAAATATATTGAGTTTGATTCGTTAACGAGCTAGTAACATAAAGCAAAGCTAAAAACAGGTTGCATTGATACACGTTTTCCCATTACAATCAGTTTCACTGTGATGAAGGTGAATTTCGTGTAAGATTCATAACATATACGCCGTGTTTTGCATGTAATTGTGTCTCTTACTAGTCTCTTACCCTCCTCGAGTCAAACGAGTGCGCGCATGTGGGCAGCGCATGTAGCAGCGGGGGTGTTGCCATGGTTGCGAGAGAGTGACAGTCGCCTAAGCCAATCCTTTGTTTCGTCCCGGCAGGAAATAATGAGCTGTGTTTAGTGCAGATTAAACGGTCTAGAGTCACTCGATTTTTATACTCTTTTTATCAGAGTACTTACATTTTAATTATGCATTGATATATATAGAAAGTTTAAACAAATTTGGGAAAAAGTTTTTTAGACCAAAAACGACCTACCCTACCTTTAACCGAACAGCTTTGGAGTCATTGTAATGTTTATATTACTGATTTCGTGTTGAATGGTGGTCGTCTTGCACCCCCCTGGTGCCTGTGAGCCGCAAAACCACCCTTGCAACTTTGGGCCGGCGAGCCGCCGGCCTCAGTGTTAGGAAGTATCGTGTGATATCAGGTCTCGCGAGGTAACGAATTGCTTTACGGCAAAAAACAGATCTGATAAAATTCTGATAAAATGAGCATCAAACAGAAATAACCCGGCGCCGTATACATGTGGTGTTGGGCGCGCGCAGCTCTTAAAGGGGCCATACCTTATTTCCACTCGTTACACGTTACCGGTGTACAGGGGGAGGGGATCCGGCCGTGAGTGCAGAGCCATCTCTGCGTGAGTGCTATTTACGACAGTACAAGTACTCCACAGCGACTCTAGGGGTCACTGTTTGACAAAAACGGAATTTCTACTTAGTTCTGCTTTAACGCATTATAGTCCTTCACGTCTATTGCGTTCTCGAAATTCCGGCCAGTTGATAATACCTAGAATATCAAAATCGACTTCAGGCGGTAGATCCTTTTCCTATTTAGCACCAAAACTCTGGAACAATCTTCCTAATATTGTCCGGAAAGCAGACACACTCTGTCAGTTCAAATCTAGACTAAAAACACATCTCTTTGGCCTAGCATACACATAACACACTATAGACTTCCTTAATTCAAAATTAGGCTGCATAGTTTAGATTAGCTGGAACCGGGAACACTTCCCGTAAATCCTGATGTACTTGCTGCATCATAAGAAGGATGGCGTCTACGCTAATATTAGTCTCTCTGTTTATCCCGAGGGACCCTCTATGGTGGACCTGCGCTTGGACCCATCCCAACTCATCCTGAAGTGCCAGCCTCATCAGCTCTGTGAAGGCCTCATCGACACGACAGCCATCGGCACTGATCCTCAACAACTCGTTTCCATACCGGCGTGATTACTTTGACTTCCAACCAGATGGAAATGTATAAATACTCTAAATGTTCCGATCCAATCTGACTTGTAATGCTGCCCGAATCATACACTGTTCCTTCGTTGGCCAGAGGAGAACTGGCCCTCCGACTGAGTCTGGGTTCTCCCAAGGTTTTTTTCTCCATTCTGTCCCCTGATGGAGTTTTGGTTCCTTGCCACTGTTGCCTTGGCTTTTGGCTTGCTTAGTTGGGGACATTTAATATTCAACAATATTATTGATCTGCCTTGCTTAAGGTGGACGTTGATGCAATTGTTTTCTAGAAACAAACTTTGTTGTATTATTTTCATGTTATCACTGTGAAGCTGCTTTGATACAATCTGTATTGTAAAAAGCGCTATATAAATAAAGGTGACTTGACTTGACCATTTTTGTGTTTTGCATACTGAATGTTGAAGTCTGTGAGTGACTCAAGCATGGTTAACTGTGAGGAATTGCCACAAATATAGATGGATTACATCAACGCAAGTGACAAGTTAATGATTTAGTCAGAAGTTAGACCACCTTTTAAAAGCAACCTATTTATTATTTCCCTTTCTTTGAAAACATAACTGTGATCTCTTATTGCATCAATAGAAAGAGAATTAAAATAATATAATTTACGTTTCAAGTGCCCAACCAAAGGGAACACCAATCACCATAATGGTGAGTTAAAAAAAAAAACATTTTAGGAAAATTAACATTTAATTTATGAAGTCAGTTTATGTGATGTTTTCTCAAATTTTTCAGTTGTATTGACAATTCAACATTCAAGATGACTTTGGGAAATGAGTGAATGCAACTAGAGAAAGATAACTGAATGAGTGAAAAAAGTCTAGTCTATTGCCCCACCTCAAAATCCCATTTTGCTTGATAAAATGTCTCTCAAACCAGTTAATTTGAACTTAGGTTTTCTGAGTAACTACGCCATATTATGTGAATAATACAAATTACTAGATTTTTACTATTAAGTTAAGATATTAAAGGGATAGTTCACCCAAAAATGAAAATTCTGTCATCATTTACTTACCATCAAGTTGACATACAAACATTCTTCCAAATATCTTCCTTTGTGTACAGCAGAACATAGACATTTTTACAGGTTTTTCAACTTAAGGGTGAGTAAGTGTACAGATAAAGGTTCATCAGAGTTAAAAATAACAAACCGCATATAAAGGACATGATATGAGGTGGCCCAACAATGGATGTGTAATCCAGCAAAGCTAACTCATGAGACAGCTGCTTAAGTTAGAGTTACTGTAGTTCCATGTGGGATCCAACACAAACCACCAGACTGATGTGACACATAAACCTGTATCAGGATGTTCTTCCCAGACTCACAGTCTCATGTATATCTCAGACAGAGATCAGTGGAGATAACCTAGTGCTCCTCACACACACACACACACACTCACAGACACAAGCACACACAACGTGTGTTTTTCATGTTTTATGAGGACATTCCATAGACATAATGATTTTTATACTGTACAAACTGTATTTTCTATTCCCTAACCCCTACCCCTAAACCTACACATCACAGAAAACATTTTTACATCAACAAAAAACATCACTGAGAATGATTTATAAGCTGTCTTCCTCATGGGGACCAAAAATGTCCAAAATGGATTTCGGATATTGCCATCCTTGTGGGGACATAGGGTTTACCAGGACTCACTCTCTCTGTCTGTCACACACACACACACACACACACACACACACACACACACACACACACACACACACACACACACACACACACACACACACACACACACACACACACACACACACACACACACACACACACACACACACACACACACACACACACACACACACACACACACACACACACACACAAAATTCTGGAATCTGACTGAGTGTTTTATCTTAAGCGCCTGCTTCTCCAGCATGCAGACACACACGCACGGCTGAGTAAAGCATGCCAAAATTAGCCGTGGGAGGGAGGCGGTGCTCCATGTGTAGTCATGAACGATAGTGTCTCTGGCCTCTCGAGTGGCTCCTATCTAACTCTGATAATGCTCAAGAGTCTAGGTATTTTGAGCTGTCTTTTTAAGCTTACGGCATTATGTTGGCTGCTTGAGTGATGCCTAATTTATGCACATTATAATATGATTCCCAGTCATTGTTGCTGCAATAGAAAATATAATATGGTATTTTATTTTGAACATTAATATGTAGTTGTATAAATCCTTATATATGGGAGCCTTATAATTATATTATAAGCCTTATAATACTCCTTATGATGATTATGTTTTCATGAATAATTTTTAACCACAGCTGTAATAAACATTTATGGTTATGCATGGTTACATTTAAATGGTAGAGTGCATTACAACACATGATCAACAACACCAAATGTCATGTGTTACAATAGGGTAAGATATGATGCCCCTCTTAAGTGCATCAGTGTACATTTACTTTTAAATTGTAACATAGATTTAAGTTTAGCATGTTTAGGATGATAATATCCTTTTTAAGTGTCATTAATGTAAAAAACTAAATCAACCATTCTATTTCAAATTGTGTTCTGACAATTTAGTTCAAAAATCGACAGACAACGCAAAGTAAAAGATTAATCTGAAAGGTACATTCATTCTATGACTTACATTCAGGCAATTCTGATTAATTGATTTTACTCAATTAGCTATAGGGTTAAATGAATAGCAGAGATGTCTGAAAGCGTCAAGACAACAAATTAAATACCACACTCATTGTAATACAATGTATTATATAACTGTAGTTACAACTATTCATTAAAAGTATAAGTATTTTGAATGCTTAACACTATAGGACGTCTAGATTTAATGCATTGTTTTACATATTGTTTTACTCAATCCAAGAAAGTTCTATGAAAAACTGCATAGACTCACCGCTGCTTTGTAGATATCGTTCATTGTGAGGAGATCAGATGAAGTGGCGCTCGTGCAGGACACAGAGCTTTATAGCAGGAGAACAGGACAGCCTGTTCCCTCCTGCCCCTCTGAGTATGGGATGGCCCATCACAGTCACTCCATCCTGATAAAACAGATATGTAGTCATGATAGGGGTTCAGTCAAGAATGGAAGGGTAGATAACTGATGATGTGCCATCCAGTTAGTTAAGACATACAAACACTTGAGATGTGTTTAAGGAACTACATGGTGTCAGAAGTTAATACAATCAATAAAGGAAGAGAATAGAAGAGGAAGGATTTCGACAGCCAGACCCGCTGATCTTCAATGGCAACATGGCAGAAAACTGGAGAACAATTTGAACTGGAATTCGACATATTTATCGCCGCAGCCCACAGCGAAAAGCCTAAAATTAAAGCCTACATACTCCTCAATCTTGCGGGACCATAGGAGATTGAAAGAGAGCGTTCATTCACATATGCTCCAGCGATACTGGGTGCTAATGGGCAAGATGTGATTACACCAGTGGAGTCAAGAGAGGATCCAGAGATTCAGAGAAGTATGCTACCTGGAGACAAACATGACGATGGAGAGACATTTGTTTAACACCAGAAATTAAAAACCATGAGAAACCATGAGGCTTACCTGAGTACGCTGAGAAATAAAGCGAAAACGTGTAACTTTGGTGCACTCACAGACGATTAATCAGAGACAGACTGGTGTGTGGCATAGAAAATGATAGCGTGAGAAGAGTGTTGCTCAGAGAAAGTGATTTAACTCTTACAAAGCATTCAAAATCTGACAAATCAGTAAAATAGCCTAGCAACACATGAAGGTGCTGGCTGCGCCGCAGTGGGCCTATGAGTGTTAACGTAGTGTGTGCAAGGGGGAAAAGCCGCCGTGCACCGGCAGCAGCCACAGCAGAAACACCCGAGTCAGTCTGGTTAGTAATAAGTGAAGCTGGTAATGCTGTTTGTGGAGTTGTTTATTCCTCCTCTACTGAGATCTTGAGAGATTTAATGTCTTCTTTTCTCTTCAGCTGATTTCATCTAAGGCTGTGGCTGAAGTCAGTTGTAGTTCTTGTGTTTCTGCTCGTCTCTTTTTCTGTTCTCTTCTTTCCTTCAGTGATTCTGCTTGTTAACAGGCTTATTAAGGCTGAGATGACTCCATATTTAATATACACAGATTGTGTGGCTCAGATAAGGTTCAGTTCTGGTTTATTTCTTTGCTTTTGGCTGACATGTGGCGTTGCTATGGCCTGCTTGTGGCCCAGATCTGGCAAACAGGAGTGAGCCACCCAAGGGCCGTCATTCCACGCTGCATGTGGGCCAGATCATCTTTCCATGTGTGCCAGATGTGGGCTGGATCTGGGCCGACACAATGTTGCTATGTGGGACATTGGCAACTTTGTGCAGTTTTGCAGCGTATGCAATGCTTTGAAACCTCATCAACAAAAAGAGCCATTGCACCTCCATGAGATCCCCGAACTGCCTTGGTCCATTGTTGCTGCTGGTATATGTGACTGGAACAGCCAACAGTACCTAGTGCTGGTTTGGTTTAAAATAAACCCACTGAAAACCTTGTCTGAAACAAAACACCATCAACAGACTGAAGAGGCTCTTTTCTGTGCACGGTATTCCCCAGAAGCTAATCATTGACAATGGCACCCAGTTTACGAGCCAGGTTTTCAGAGACTTTGCAAGTTCATGGGATTTCTGTCATATCACTAGCAGTCCCTATATCCCTGGGTGAACAGTCTCACAGAAAGAGCCGTTCGTAGTGCAAAGGGCCTTATCGAAACCACTAAGAGGGATGGGACAGACTTGTATCTGAATTTGTTAAACATCCGCAACATTCTTCGATATAAGATACTGGGTTCACCGGCACAGAGATTGATGTCCAAGGTAACGCGTACCAATCTGTAAGCAGATGCTAAAGCCAAGTTCAAAGAGACATGGCGGCAGTGGCTCAGTGGTTCATGTAGGTTGTCTACAAACTGGAAAGTTGGTGGTTCAATCCCCGGGTTCCACCTGACCAAGTGTCAAAGTGTCCATGAGCAAGACACCTAACCCCAGCTGCTCCCGACGAGCTGGATGGCGCCTTGTATGGCTGACACCCTGTATGAATGAGTGAGTGAATGGGTGAATGTGAGGCAAAATGTAAAGCACTTTGGTGGCCACTGGGTCTGTGAAAGCGCTATATAAATGCAGTCCATTTACCATTTACAGTGAAAGACAAAGCTCAACTCTCCAAAAAGAGACAAATGCAAAAAGTGTACGTCGATGAAAGGAGCAAACCACTCTCTCCACTGCATGAATCCCATGTGATACGGATGCAAACAGTAAAGGGACCTGACAAAATTGGAGTTGTTAAACCTTACGGAACAAAAATAAATATTTCCATATATTTATAATCAATATATCACAGTATATGGTGTAAATACACAGAAAAATATTATATTGCGTTAATATAATGTGTTATATATTACAATACATTGAACAATACATAAGGAATTTCTGCTTTTCATATATTAAAAAAATTATTTACAATATATTTACACTGTAAAATGTAATTAGTTGAGTGCACTTAGAAAACATGGAAAACAATCACCTTAAATTTCTCAAGGATGTTTTATTTAAAGTTTTAAGTTGCTAATACAAAGACACAAAAGAGTGTTGGGACAGTGATAGACTGCATTTATTTCTATTTATAAAACCATCATTAATTACATTAATCACACACAGACATTAAGAATCAGCAGATGAATCTCAACAATGGTGACATGCTTCATGCTGCGATGCATTTTGGGAACCATGGATGAGATTTATACTACGGTGGTGCCCAGAATGCATTGCAGCGTGAAGCATGTCACCATTGTTGAGATTCATCTGCTGATTCTTGATGTCTGTGTGTGAGTTCAAAAACGTATGTTTACAATAACAGTGCTAGATCTCTCTTCATAGTTTCGCAATGTTTATAATACAATATTAAAAATACACCTAACACACTTTTGATCTGTGACTCATAATTAATGATGATTATGTCACCATAAATAAATACCCAACAAATTATCCCCAGAATTTATCTTGGATCGTTTTATGGCTTTGGTCTTATAAACACACAGTTACAGCAGGCAGAGAAAAACTAATGTTATAAATTCAAGAGCCCAACTATATATAACATTATACTATTTTCAATAAATCATCCACATCTAAACCTCTGTTGATTCTCAAAGTACTTCTGTAGATGTATGACAGAAATAAAGTCAAACTGTTAGTAATAAGTGAAGCTGGTAAAGCTGTTTTTGTTGTTTAACCCTCCTCTGCTGAGATCTTGAGAGCTATGCTAGTGTTTAATATTCTGTTGGGATTTAAAGTGTTTCTGTTGTCTGAGTTTTGTGGGTCACCATTGTGCTGAAGAGTAGAGCCCGTGCTTCAGTCCAGCAATAGCCTGACGTCGTCATACTCAGATTCTAGTCAGAATGTGAGTCTGATGCTGCTCCATTGGGCTGTGATTATGGGGCTTGTTTCAACCGAACCAGGAAAGAAAATGCCTCTGCACTCAATTGGATAGACCTACAACTAATCAGAGCAAAGGAGTAAGTGACGTATGTTGAATCCCGTAGGAAGGACGACAAAAACATCTTTCCGATCGACAAATGCCTTGATCGTATTGCGGAGCTAATGCGCAGTGGGGACGGAATGTAAAACGCAGCACTATTAGCAACTGACTCCATCCCAACTGGAGCCTAGGAAAACAACCCGAGGTCCACAGTAAGACACAAACCATTATAAAAGCTCCCGACAAGAATATGAATGGGGACCGGACCTGAGATTTCCTAGGACAGACTTGTGCTTATGGACAGTAAATCGTGTTAGACTGAAAGACCGGACGGCCATAGGGTCTACTTATCATATGGAGAGGACTCGAGCTTGCAAGCAAGGTACCTCCATGTTGTAGAACCTAACAAATGTGGACGGCGAGGACCAGTCGGCCGCTGCACATATGTCTTCAATTGTAACACCACTAGACCAGGCCCTCGAAGAAGCCATGCCTCTTGTGGAGTGGGCCCTAGTGCCAATGGGACAAACCTGGCCCACCGAAGCGTATGCCAGAGAGATGGCGTCCACTTTCCATCTCGATAGTCTCAGCTTCATGACCGGTAACCCCTTGGTGCAGCCGCCGAAGCATACAAAAAGCTGTTCCGACTGCCTGTACGGTGTAGAGTGCTCCAGGTAGATTTTAAGGGCTCTGACGGGACAGAGCAAATTAGCTTCCCCGTCGTTCTCCGAGGGGGGAAGTGCTGATAATGTGATAACCTCCGCTCTGAACTGATTTGAGAGCACTTTGGGTACGTAGCCATGTCTTGGTTTGAGGGTGACTCTGGAATCACCAACCCCAAACTCCAGGCAGGAAGGGCTCATGGAGAGCACCTGCAAGTGGCCTACTCACTTAACTGATGCCAGGGCCAATAGGAGAGCAGTTTTCAGCGAAAGTGGCTTAAGGTCAGCCGACTGAAGCGGTTCAAATGGGGGACCCTTCAGGGCCCCAAGGACCATGGAGAGGTTCCATGCCGGCATAGAAGGGGGCCGAGGGGGATTCATCCTCCTGGCCCCCTTGAGGAAGCGAACAACGAGGTCGCTTTTCCCTAGTGATTGGCCAGCCACAGGAGCATGGTAGGCTGCTATGGCCACCACATACACTTTGAGCGTGGATGGGGTGCGTCCCGTGTTCAAAAGCTCTTGCAGGAAGGAGAGTACCACTGATACCTCTCATGATCTGGGGTTCGAGGTCTCTAGCTGTGCACCAGCTGGTGAATACCGACCACTTCAGAGCATAGAGGCGCCTCGTAGAAGGTGCTCTAGCCTCAGTGATAGTATTCAAGACCCTCTCTGGGAGGTCCCAGGATACCCGTTGAGGGGCCACACATGAAGGGTCCACAAGTCGAGGCGAGGGTGCCAAACCCTCCCATTTGCCCATTTGCCTTCGTGAGGAGATCCTTCCTCATTGGTGTAGGCCAGGGGGCTGTGTTCAGCATTTGCGCCAGCTTTGGGAAC